CATTGTCAAACATAAAATACATAAACCCCACTGCAGATCAGCAGTTATAGGCAAACATTTGCATTTGATTTTGATGATAAGGAACATCAAGCCCTATACTGGACAAACCTTTGTCCTGAAAATAAAAGAATTCCATTCTCCTTATTAGTGAACCAGTATTACAGAAAGTTGTGCTCAGCTACATTTTGAATTTTATATTTAAAAAGTTATGGAAATTTGTTTTCTCACATTATAAGTAGCCACATAATATCCACAAATTGTGCATCTGGGCTCATAGAACCTAAAATGTTTACTGTATGGCCCATCACAGAAAAAGTTTCCTGACCTCTAAATTACATCAAGATAGTAGCAGTGGAGATAGGAAGGGGACTAATGTGACATGTATTTTTGGTGGAGGGCATAGAAGATTGGCAATGGATTTGCCAATTAGATACTGGGTAAGATACGGGGTAAGAAGGAAGTTAAAGAATGGAGTGTGAGGCTGGGTGTGGTGATGCACACCTGTAATCCCAGCTGCCTAGGAGGCTGAGGCAAGAGGGTCACAAGTTTGAGGCCAGCCTCAAAAACTTAGGGAGTCATTGTCTCAAAGTTTAAAAAAAAAAAAAAAGAAAAAGAAAGGGCTGGGGATGTGGCTCAGTGGTTAAGTGCCCCTGGATTCAATGCCCAGTTACCACCCACCTAAAATATGGACTGTGCCCTGTGGCTCTTCTTTCTGACCTAGGCTGCCAAGGACAGAAAATTTAACCACTACTGGGGAAAGTCCGTGGCTGGTAGTAATGGGGTGCTGTCACAGGGTATTTCCTCACTACTCTGAACCCCAGGAATGTGGTGGCAGGCATGTTCATTGATCACCTGTCCACAGTCCAGACCGTTGTGCACTACCCCTTTCCCTGATTTCTTAGCAGCTACACCTGTACTTCTCCCCAGCCAAATGTCTATGTTAGATGATCAAAGGATATATACCTTATTTTTATTTTTCATAGTATGTAAAAACTAAAGAATTTTGGTGAAGATTGCTCTTAGGTTTTTATTTCTACAGCTTTGATGGGGTATTGCTGGCATTGAGGAGAAAGTGTAAGAATTGATCCTTGACCTTCAAAACCTCTCCATCTGGGGCTGGGGCTATAGCTCAGTTGGTAGAGCACTTGCCTCGCACATGTGAGGCACTGGGTTCAATTCTCAGCACCACATAAAAATGAAATGAAGATATTGTGTCCATCTACTATAAAAAAACATTTTTAAAAAACCACTCTCCATCTAATTGACGATCAAGTGTAAGGCACTGTGTAGATACTGCATCCACACAGGCAGAGGAGGGGTGTGAGTCCTGTGCAGCACCAGTGCAGGCAGGTTGCTCTAACCTTCCTGTGTGCTGGGTCCCTCGTCTGTAAAACAAAACGGAGATCATCTTTGGGTTCAGGTGCTCTTCAAGCCCCAACCATCAGAGTTGCTTACCTCTCAGGTTTCCAGCGGTTTTGCTCGGTCTCTGACTCCTCTCTGTCCCCACTCTTCAATCTTGCCATTGTCTTTCTACAACATAGACCTGCCATGCCCCAGCTCTTAAGAATAAGAACTTTGTCAACAATGAGCTGCCCTGGACAAAGACAGACCTGGCTGCTGGCTCGGGCTGAGGCTTAGTGGTAGAGCACTTGCCTAGCATGTGTGAGGCCCTGGGTTCTATCCTCAGGACCACATAAAAAAATTAACAAGTAAAATAAACTTTTTAAAAAGAGAGAGAGCGACCTGGCTGTGTATGTCCTTGACTGTTTTCTTTCTTGTCATTTCCATTCTTCAGCCAACCTTCTCTCTGCCCACACTGAGCTCCTCAACTTTCCTTAAATATACTGTACTTGTTTTTAATCTGAAATTGGCATAAATGGTTCCATTAGCACAAAAGTTTCTCTGTTACTTCCTGTTTGAGAATACCTGCTCATTTCAGAAAAATAATTTTTATTGCCAAAAATGTATCTATTTATCACTCAAAAATGTTATATTTAAGAATGTAGACTTTACAGAATAGCTAAATCAAGCTAACTAAGATATATATTACCTCACATACTGATTGTTTTTTTTTTGGTCAGAACATTTAAAATTTTTCTTGCTATCTTCAGTAGTATAATACATTGTCACCAACTGTATCTACTGTATCTACCATGTTGTAAAATGGACCTCTTGAACTAACTGAAATTTTATATCCTTTGACCATTAACTCTCCGCCTCTGGTAACCAACCTCTATTTTCTACTACTATTTATTTATTTTCATTTCAGCACTTGAACCCTGGGGGTACTTAACCAATGAGCCACATCACCACCCCTTTTAATTTTTCATTGTTAGGGTCTCACCAAGTTTCTTAGGGCTTTACTAAGTTGCTGAGGCTGGCTTTGAATTTGCGATCCTCTTGCCTCAATCTCCTGAGCTGCTGAGATTATGGGTGTGTACCACACATCTGGGTTTTTTCCTGGCTTAGACCCAGGGCCTCTCCCACGCTAGGCAGCACTTTACCATGAGCCACATCACACTCTCTTCTTCTATGAGTTCAATTGTTTTAGATTTCACATGGAAATGAGATCCTCAGTATTTATCTTATTTCACTTACCATACTGTCTTCCAACATCATCTTTATTGTTACAAAGGACAAGTGATTTTCTTATTTTTTAAGACAAAATAGTATTCTATTGTGTATATTACAGAATTTTTTAATTCATCCATTGGTGATCTTGACTGTTATGAATAATGCTTAAATGAACCATGAGAGTACAAATATCTCTTCAACATACTGATTTCAATTCCTTTGAATATAAAACCAGTAGTAGGATTGCTGGATCATAAGGTAGTCCTATTTTTAATTTTTCAAGAAACTCTATTCTGTGTTCTGAATGGTTGTAATTCTGTTCATTTTTTTAATACCAGCTCTAATATTTATCCACAAATCTTCTTTAACTTTTCAGGCATTTAGTTGGTCTTTTACCCCACAGTACCTTGTACATCTTGTACAGTGGATTCATCATACTGAATTATACTTATTTAAAGTTGTGCTGTCTTTTCCTTAGTCTCCGAGAAGGCTAGCCAGCAGTGCTACACATGGTGGTCCATGGGTTGATGGGCAGTGAGAATGAGGACTATACAAGAAGCCCCAGTATCAGATCTAGGCTTCCACTCAGGTCTTCATTGAACCTTTCACTGAACACTAAGGAAATAATTTATTGTATTCCATTCTGTGTTCTTTTTGTCACTTTTTGCCTTTATTCACTTATCCATGTCCATTTAAAAGGAAAAACAGGTAAATGAAAAAGAAAAAGATCAACTAAATTTCCCAGAAATAAATTGTTTTATGTACATTATTTATTCTAGAATTTTCTATAATATATGGAGTTTCTTTATGAGACTTATTCTAACAAACTGATTAGTTCTTTCTTTTTGCACTTTGAAATATACTACAGGTTTAGCATCTCTAATTTGAAATTCAAAACCTTTTTGAGTGCTGTTTTTGGGGATTAGGAGTGTTCAACCAGGATACTCTATGCAAATATTCCAAAGTCCAAAAAAAGCAAAAACCAAAAACCCCCAACTCAGAAACATTTCTGGTCTCAGGCATTTTGGATAAGGGATATTCTACCTGTGTGAACATGTTTTGCATCTTTAAAATTTTTAGATGTCTTTGTGGATATACCGTAATTTATGTCATGACTCCTTTTGCTAGTCCTTGAGATTACCCGGCATTTTTCAGTTCTATGAACTACAGGGAGATACCATATTTGTAGACTTATTTTTGTGCCTATCCATAATTTTTTTTCCTTAGTATTAATTCTTAGAAGTGAACTAAAAGGGCCCAAGTAATAGCATGGATATTGAATTCCCTGTTCTGTAGGATGCTGCCTTCTCTGCCAGCTGAGGATGTTTTATCAAATCACTTGCAATATTTGCAAGTTGGGGAAACATTTTGCATTTAACCATTTTCCTCCTCATTTCTCCAGCCTTCCCCTGTCAAGGAGCAGCGGGCTCAGCTGAACCCTGGAGGGTCCCTCGAGGTCCCATTGCTCTAGTGATCTCAGAGCTTAATGTTAGTAAACTTGCACTTTTGGAAAAGGAGTTTAATTAAGATACATCTGTAATAGTTCATGGCATGCAGTTCAGCAAAGGCCACTCAGTCTCTCCAGGACTTCTGGGAACTTTTAAATCATAGTAGCTCATTTAGAACTGCTTCATATGAAGCTCCTGGGCCATCTCTGATTAGTACAGAAAAAGGAAAAATTTGAGGAACACGTTAGGATTGAATAGAGCACTTTTCTCAAGAGAAAGATCTGAAAAGTCTGATTTACTTTAAGTAAACTATTTAGTCAGCCATTTTTAGCAATATTTTGACTTTTAACAAGTTTAAACAAGAAAGATACATGTAAATAGTAATGTATTTGCTTTGATCATATTTGACTTATAGATAAATGTATAGTGTAAAGGTGAAATCTGTTTTTTCACTTTTCTCTGGACACAAATGAATTACATTGTTTTCATGGTTGGTTTAAACAAATGCTAATTTATTTTAATAACTTTATTGAGATACAGTTCACATGCCATCTAATTGTACCCATTTAAAATTACAATTCAGTGGGGTCTGGTCTGTTCAGAGTACATAGTTGTCACCCCCAGTGTTATTAGAACATTTTCACATCCCAAAACAAACCCCATACCAATTAGCAGTTACCCTGTCTCCTCCCAACACTCCTCCCTGAGGCAACCACTAATCCACTTTCTATTCTAGACATTTTGACTAGATGGAGCCATGCATGTTCCTTGGTGACTGCCCGCTGTTTTTGCATGTGCTGTATTTCATTCCTTTTTATTATTTAGTAACATAACACTGTTCCACTGTGTGGACGTGTACTGTGCTGTGTTTCGTCATCATCAGTTGATGGACATGCCGGTGTTTGCCTGTTGTGAACACTCATGTACAAGGTTCTGTGTGGGCGCACATTCATTTTATACTTTTTTTTTTTTTTTAAGTGTCTTTCTCGAGAAGCTGGTGGACACATGAGCATTCAGTTTCTTGGCACAGTGGTAAGTACAGAAGAATAATTATTTGTGTATTCTCTTAATTTAGAGACAAAAATAGTATTTGGCTAATTTTAGCCCATGAGTTTCAACCTGCTTCATTGTGGGTTTAGTTTGCTGGTAAAGTAAGATGTTTGTATAAGAAGCACATGCCTTAATGTGTTAGAGCAGTTTCCATGATAGAATTTTCATAGACACTTCTTATGAGAACATATTTTTTAAAAAATTAACTTATTGAGTATTTTAAGTACTTTTTTCTATTAAAAACTTTCTCTGTGTTTATATAATAAAAATAAGAGTGTATTACATAAAGTTGCTTTTGAAAACAGTGAGCTTGACCTTTATCCCCTTCAGTTTTCTTTAACTTTCTCTATAAGGTCCTTTTAAATCTAAGTTTCTAATGAAATTTAATGATAATCCTACTTTTATTAATTTTTGTCTAAATCCTATTGTTTTAGATAATGTTATAAAATAATTATAAGCATGATTTAAATATAGCTATATCTAACATTATGATGGGTATCCTACTTTTATTAATTTTTGTCTAAATCCTATTGTTTTAGATAATGTTATAAAATAATTATAAGCACTATTTAAATATAGCTATATTTAACATTATGATGGGTAGATATGACATTTTATTTATCCCTGAATCTCACTGTTAGGTGTAGGCTACTATACTTTTTTTTTCTTTACAAATGGTATCATGATGAGCACCTTAATGTATTTTACTTCTTTGATGTTTTGAATTATTTTCAAATAAGTATAAGATATTTTAAAAATATATGATACATTTCTTGATGATGGAATGTGATGATCATTATTATCCAAAGTACAGGTATGAAGACACATGTTGGTGTGAATATACTATGTATACAACCAGAGATATGAAAAATTGTGCTCTCCATATATAATAAGAATTGTAATGCATTCTGCTGTCATATATAAATAAAAATAATAAATTAAAAAATATTTGATACATTTCTTCCTAAACATAATCAAAGCCATGAATATTTTTATGGTTCATTATAAATTTTCTAGTTATTTTATATCTTTTTAGAACCCTACCCATTATATATTAGAATACTACTTTGCACTCTCTCACTGGTATTATAGTTTTCTAAATTATTTATCTGCTAAAAAGAGGTTTGCTTGATTAAATATTAAATATATTAAATGTTTTCACATATAATTTATAATTATTAGTAGTAGCATTAAAAATTTCAGAATATTTTTTAGAAAAGCACATTATTGTTTTAATTTTCACTTCTGTATTTATTGCTACTATCTTTGAATATTTTTCACATATCCATTTACTAAGTATTATTTATAATATGAGAAATGTCTACTCATGTCCTTTGGGTACATTTTTCAGGATATATATTCACATAGTAAGTTTCTGGTAGCTGGATGAGTTTATTGAGAATTTCAGAGAGGCCTGTGCCTTGAATAAAAAAAATGCAATGATTTTGCACCCAGTGAGATGGGAATTATATTATAATATATATTCACAGAGCACTTCATCATTTATATATGCACAAAGATGTATGTGTAGTTTACATATACAAAGTATGTGTATATTCAGGCTCTAGCTCATTGATTGTAACCTAAATTTTAGGTATTGAACCTAAGGCTTATGGTTATTCTTATAAAATAATGCAACAAAAACTTTATTATTGAGATGTATTTCAAGAGAAACTATATTAGATTTGAATCCAATGGGTGAGTGTGTGTGTGCGCGCACACACACCCACATGTGTGTAGAAGGAGAAATTGATATTGATTGATTTTAAGGAATTGCTTTGCTCAGTTGTGGATGGATGGCAAGTCCTGGCCTTCAGGGTAGGCCATTCAGATGGAGACAGTGGAAGTGTGCAGTTTAATCCCCCCAAAGGCCATCTTCTGACTGATTGCTCCTTGTTGGTCAATTGTTTTCCATTAAGACTCTCAAATGATTGGATGAAGCCCCCCCACATTATAGAGGATGATCCACCTTACTCCAGATTCACTGATTTAAATGTGCATCTCATCCAGAAAATACCCTCACAGATGCATCTGAAATGACATTTTATCAAATATCTGGGTACTGTGGTCTCACTAAGTGGACACATAAATTTAACCATCACAGAAGTGAATATCCCATCCCTTAGAGGTGTTTAGTTCTTTACAGTGGCTCTTTATTCAGAGATAGAATCACACTGTGCCCCTGATCCACTGCTGAAGTAGTAGGAAAGTGATTCTGTATAAATGGAGGCTTCTCGGCCTCTTGCTCCTCTTCAGACATGGCCGGCTCCTTCCTCAGGGGCTCTGCACTCGCCCTTCTTCTGTCGTGACTGTTAGGAACATCTGCCTACACGTCTGCTGTTTTCTTGCTATTCTGTGCCAGGGATTGAGCCCAGAGCATCAACTGCTAGGCAGGGGCTCTACCACTCAACTGCTAGGCGGGGCTCTACCATGAGCTACAGCACCAGCCCTTTTCATTTTATTTTGAGACAGGTTCTCACAAAGATGCTCAGACTGCCTCAGACTTGGATCCTCCTGCCTCAGCCTCCTGAGTAGCTGGGATTACAGTTTTGCTTCACCACACCTGGTCTCATTCATAATCTTAATCACCCTTTCTGACATTTTATTTTCCCCCTTCCTGCTTTCTTCTTTTTCTTTAGCAACTGTCACTGTTTGACACAGTATACATGCATTTTTTGATGCATTGATTGTCTTCCCTTGCATGTAGCAAGCTCCATGGGCATAGGCTTTTTGTCATTTGGCGCAACGCTCTGAACAGGACCTTGTGGGTATTCAGTAAATATTGGTTCAGTGAATGAGTGCCGTTGACTCGTGTGGGATTTAAGTATCAGACTTTTAAAAGAAAAATGAAAAAAATAATATAGAAAAAAATGTGTTAAAAGTAAGTGTAGGGGTGCTGGGGTTGTGACTCAGCTGTAGAGTGCTCGCCTTGCATGTGCGGGACCCTGGGTTCGATCCTCAGCAACACATAAAAATAAATAAGTGAAATAAAGGTATTGTGTCCAACTACAACTAAAAAATAAATATTTTTTTAAAAAAGTAAGTCGGGGGGGGCTGGGGATATAGTTGAGTTGGTAGAGTGCTTGCCTCGTGTGCACAAGGCCCTGGGTTCAATCCCCAGCACCACACACACACACACACACACACACACAGAGTAAGTGTGAGGGTGTTTGGGACCTTAGAATTGAGCTAATCTGTCTTCCTCAGATAAGGAAAGTTGGCATCAGAAGAGACGGTGTGACCCACACAAGGGCGGTCAGAGCAAAGGAGGGTGCCCAGAGTCCTCCCCTCAGTCCAGCCCTCATTCCATCAGCAAATGCCCTTTCATTTTATTCCCTTTCACTCACATTAGGCACCCAAACAGACTAGAGAGAAAGAAAGAATTAAACACATACACACACACACACACACACACACCCCTCTAATAAACTGCTAACGAATGTCACCTGAAAAAATGAAAATAAGAGTTTCATGTGGCTGATGTTCCCTTCTCCCACTAGAAAGTAAGAGACTGTTTTCTGGGGTATCCAGAGGCTCTGGGTCCACTCTACACAGAGAAGGAATCCAGTCCTAACACAATTCTTCAGCCCAGCAGTTTGGAGACCCAGATAGTTTGTTGCATTGAATTTTTCCCCTGTGTATTATTAGCAGTAGTGGGTTAGTACAGAAGAGGCGAAATGGTGTGCAGTTCATGGACTGTCAGAACAGATGGAGATTGGCTGACACTCTCACGTGCTGCTTCAGTGGAAGGTGTCCAAAGCAGACATAGCGGCAAGGACACAGGTCAGGAGCAGTAGTCGCATGGTAGAGGTGAGGCCCCAAGTATGCATTGTCTTTGTGAGAATCCTTGTAGAATTTTCTATTAAAGTTGGGGTTTTGAGTATTAATAACAATAGCCTTCAATGTTCAAAAAAAGTTTAAATTTAAACTAAGAAAAATACTTCTTTGTATCACTAAATTTCAGTAGTGATATTAGCATTTCAACTGAGGGAAAGTAGAGATAAGGATAATTAATTTCATTCAATTTCTACTCAGAAATTTTAAAAAATGTGTTGTTTTTATGTCCTGTAAATCTCATGACTTTTTAAAAACTTGGTTTTATTAGATGACATTACATATTACAAAATATTATAAATATATTTTACATAATTGTACGAGTACATTTAAAAGAACATTTTATAAGCTGAGCACAGTGACACATGCCTGTAATACCAGCAATGACTGAAGCTGAGGCAGGAGGATGACAAGTTTGAGGCCAGCTTCAGCCACTGAGGGAAACTCTATCTCAAAATAAAACATAAGAAATGGCAGATGATGTGGCTCAGTAGTTGGACACCCCAGGGTTCAATTCTCACTGCCTCCCTAAATAATCATGACAAATAAATAAAAACTTATAATACATTTGTAAGCTTTAAAAAATAATGATAAATTCCCATGTACCCACTATACAATTTATTTTTAGAAATTACCATGACTTTTGAAGATTTCTGGTGTTCTTCCATGATCGTGTCACTCCCTGCCATGGGAAATTTCTTCCTGATTTTGTATTTATCATTCTGTCTTTTCTTTATAATTTTTCCACATATTTGCAACCCCAGATAATACATAGTTCAGCTTTGCTTGCTTTCAGACCTGACACACATAGGGTTATATTCTCTAGTCTCCCGTGACTTGGTTTCCCTGCTGGGCCTTGTTTGTGAGACCCGTTGCATGCAGCTGGAATTCATTGGTACCCACAGCCAAGCAGACTGTTCTTGGGTTGATAAGCTGAGCAGTTTTCAGCTTTTTGCCATAATTCTTAGTGCTGCCATGAGCATTTCTGAACATGGGTACCGTGTCCTAGAGGCACACGTGGGGCGACACTGCATAGTTATATGGATTTAGTCCATTTGTATGTTGTTTGGATTTTTAATAAAGCAGAAAGAATCAGGTTGGGGAGCATATGACAAGTTCTGACTCTGAGTTACAGATAGAAGCAACTG